AATGTTGTAAGATACATTTAGTGTATGAGCGTTTATTATTTTCATAAATCGCTTTTCGTTTTTCGAGTTGCTGTAATTAGATAATAAGGTGGGTTGGATTTAAGGGTTTACATTTTAAAACGGGCTGAAACTTTGGTAGATACCACTTGTTTGTGATACGCTTGACGCATTTGTCACAACTACTTGAGATTACCTAAGGCGATAATTTAATTAATTTTGTATATTATCAACACTGCAGTGTGCTTGGTCTATCCGTGCGCACATTTTTAAGCATATTATGTACCTAATATACATTTTAAATTGCATTAATAGATATAGTGTTTGATTCATTGCGAAAACAGTACTTTACATAGTATGAGCCACTCGAATGTCACTCGAATGTGACCCCACACCCCATTTCTACAATTATATTAATGAATACAATTTATGATTTCATTTTAATTAATATTAGCTATTATTTCCACGGCTATAGTAAACTGAAATTTGCATTAAATGCAATATCTCTTTTGAAAACACACACGACGTGTATGATTCATTGTTGAATACTATTTCAATTGATACCACTATATCAGTAAGCACGTGCGTTCGTTAAATATATTACTGTCAACATTTACATTGCTCGCGCAGTACAGTATTGTAATTAGTGTACTTAAGTACCCAAACACTAATTGTTTGTAGCTGTAACTCGGTGCTGTAGATTATACCATAATAACCTTTGCAATTTGTTAAATTTCAAATTTGTAGAAAAAAAAATCTATACGGAAAGTTGCAACGAGGCGACAGAATAAAATACCATAACACGGTTTTGACTTTTGAAGAATAAAATATACAATTGCATGTATTGAGTACTCTCATGATTTACAATTTCAAATTTTATTATAATATTACAAAACTAGCATATAGTGACGGACATATTATACAAACGCAAAAAAACAACTATCGGAGAGTGACGGACGTCAAATTGTGGTCAGGACTAGTTTCAAAAAGGCGATGGAAAGTCAACAATCGCCTCAAATTCACAATTGTTATAGAGCTCAGCGCACTTTGGACGCCAAAACTGGTATGACGTATGAAGGAATCCCATTTATATTATTCCCAAGAAAGTTCTTACGGTAAAAGCAGTGTTTATAGTGATACCAAAATACGACGACGATCGTTAAACTCACGACGGCTTATTAACTGATAAAATAAATATCTTTCGGATAAGACGTGATCTTTGAAATGTGCCTCATATTGGAATGCCCAAACAAAATAAATCCCCCAAGACTAAAGTAGTAAAATCCCCGAAGTGTGTGTTTGTGTGTGTGTGTGTGTGTGTGTGTGTGTGTGTGTGTGTGTGTGTGTGTGTGTGTGTGTGTGTGTGTGTGTGTGTGTGTGTGTGTGTGTGTGTGTGTGTGTGAATCTTTTTTTTTAAATAATTTTATTGTCAAGTATAAATAAGATGATTGGTGGTAGAGAGTTACAAAATAGACACAAAAATTGCATACCAAAAATAATATAACCTAATTTCAAGAAAATTTCATAGAATAACAAGACAGAGTAATTTAAAATTTCATAAGTTCATAAGTTTTTTTTGGAAATAACAATAAATTAAATTGTTGTTTTAAAAATTCTAATAGATTCCAAATTGGTGAGAAAATGAGTTTTTTTTATATGTATAATGGCATTGAATTATAATAATTTGGACCTAAATAATCGATGAATTTTTGACGAAAATATTTTTTGTTCCCTTTTTTTCTTATATTTTCCACATCAAAAAAAGATTCATAAATTTTTATTATATACAAAATAGTTATATTTTTATAATATACAATCTTGACTCATAAATAGTATATTATTATAATGTTGTTCCGTATGATTGAAATATGCGATTCAAGTATTTTGTGTTTTATGAACTGCTTACCTCCGTATTAAGTTATAATAATTATTATAATTTATAAGAATTCAGTATCTCAGTACGCTCATCTGCGAGTGCTTTAATTATAATTTTCGAGTTCACGACTCAGAACGCTCCAAAAATCTGGAGTAAGGTATTGATGTCAACATTTTTTGATTTAAACAATATTGTGTTCACATTATTGGTATGGTTAAAATGTCGGTACATTGTGGATTGGGCTCTTGATTCGTAGGTACTTTATATTACAATACCTACCCACACATATTTTACAATTAATAAGGCGACCACGAACTAATTAAATAGATTAAAATATTATATGATATCAAAATATGCTATCACGTCTTTATTTAATTAAAAATAAATAATAATGAAGTAGGTAGGTAATGAAGAAAAAAATAAAAAAACCATTAATTTATTGTTATTTCACAGACCCTGCATAATAATAAGGTAAATGTTTTCGTGTAAAATATGTTGTATACATTTTTAGCAACACAATACACCACTCCAATAAACATTAAGGGGCCTTGGTAAAGTACTCGTTTAAGCATTAATTCATATTATTCTCAAATGCAGGGGGTGCATTACTGAAAAATATTAAGAAATTCAGACCATTTTAAAACTAAAATTTCCATTCCACTTCCTCGTACACACGTTTTAATTCGTTTGTATAGATGATTGATATATAGATAATATTATATTTGTACGAAAATAATAAATTGACTTACAAAAGCTTGTCCAAATTAGATAAATAATTTCATATCGATAAAATACAAAAACGGAAATAAAATAAAGTAAAAAAAAAGAAAACTATGAAATCGAAGTTTTATTATATTTCACCAAGTATGCCTATATATAGCAGATATGTTAAGTACATATATATATATTGTATAAGTATATATGTATTTGTGTGTGTACGTATAAAGTTGATGTAAACTTCTTATTTTAACAAATCTACAATAAAAGCGTATACAAATGTCTATTTAAAATATACCTACCGAGTTATGGCTTTAAGTAATTTGTCGACTACAGTAAGTAAAGTTGTATTCGTGATATCATTTTACATTCACAAAATTATAGTATAATAAAATATATTAATAAGTAATAACGTTCAAGGGGATGAGAATAAAATAGTGCAAAATAAAAATTACTCTTAAGTCATAACGATAACAATGCGATGGAAATAGTGTTAATGGATTATCAGAATAACTGCAGTGGTCATAGACCATATAGTAGTAAAATCATGTATTGCAACAAATTCGTATAAGATACAAACTTATACAACACTATTGAGGAAGTAAACAAACTTTAATGGTTTTAAATGGTGGTAAATTATATATCTTTCAGAAAAAAAAATTTGAATGAATCACATGGTCAACTGTAGTTTTTATAAGAAATGTTTAGAATTCACTGTTACTTAAAAAAAATAAGACATGGCAGTGGCGGATCCAGCGGGAGGGCCAAGAGGTCATTTCCCCCTCACCCCAATCGCAGTAGTTTTCCTTTGTTTTACACTGTGTTTAGTTAATTTTTAAGCCAAATTTGGAACTTTTTGTACTTTTGCCCACACATGCCCCTCCCAAAATTAAGCCCTGGATCCGCCACTGTAAATGGCTAAATATATTTTCTAACATTAATTTAGTATGGCAAATAACATATATTATGCTATACGTCAAACTTGATTGGCTTATAAATATTAAATGCATAATTAATATTAAAAGGTAAATTAATGGAATATAAAACAAAAAAATAAGGATAGTAAGTACATTCTTATTTATAAACATTACAATCAGCTAGGTACTAAATATTTTAAAACTGAGTTTGTATGTTTGAAAGCGCTAATCTCAGGAACTATCAGTCCGATTTCAATAAATGATAAAGGTACCAATTGATTCCTTATTGAGACTTGAGGAGTTTTCTCAACCCCTATAAGCTTAAATAGGGTAGCTCACACTTGAACTTCGTTTTGGCTCACGGAAATCGAATAATTTTTAGTTTAACTACCTATGCTTGCCATTAGATACAGATTTTTTAATGAACTATCCGACTAGCGTTACTATGGGTTTTTTTTTAAATGAATTAAAATAATCTTACTTACATTTATTGTTTTTATTCAACTCTACAACAAAATGCAATGTCCTTAGCTTATCAATTATCATGAAATCAAAAAACTACTCACATCTGTTAAAATTGTAATACCTCTGGGTGTACCAAAGTTACCAACAAATTAGACCTTCTATGATTTTTTTTATTCTATAAATGTCGACTTACTACAAGGTTTTGTATAAATTAGTAATAATAAATGCTTGAATAAAAAAAAATTGAGTATACATCCACGATCAAATTTTATGAGCGTTTGAAGTCAGAACTTTGACGAACGAGAAAATTGATTTTATTAAAATTGAAATTGCGTTATAATTTCAATATTTCATATTAATTTTTTTGTTTTTCCTAATTTTTTTTAACGTACTGGAAAAATCAATATTTATTATAAAATAAAAATATTATATAGGTACTATTATAATAATTAAATATTAACAATATAATAAATGCAATGTTTTCTTCAAAAATTAGATCAACCTACCGTAATACTTATATTAAAATAAATAAATTAAATTGCCATTTCTAAAAACATATCATAAATTATTATAGGTACTTAGACTGACCGACCAGAATCGGTCTTCGCTCAGAAATTTTTTTCGCAAACAGTGACTTCTCATTGAATTACAATATTTGACTCATACATTACAAAGGCTTACTCAATGACGAGGTATACTCGCACATTATTTACAGCAACGCGGTTGTCTACTTTTCCACTTTCTATTTTTTTTTTTCCCCGAATATCTTAAAAAGTCCTGAGAATATTCAGTTTTTGCAACATCCATGGAAATTGATGATCAGAGCATTCTTTCTACTACAAAATGTTTACATCTTCGAACGCAAAAATAAAAAAACACACATCGTTGTAAAATCAATACATTCATTGTTCCGCTAAAAATCTTAAAAAACTATATTTTTATCTTTAATAATTTGTATAACTATAAAATTATTATTTTTGTGTAACTAATCAATATGTATAATAATATGTTTTTTTTTTATTTTATAGGTTGGCTGGTTAAAAGCAGAAGATCAGACCATACTAAGTTTACACGAACGTGTGGTTACCGAAAACCGAAGGATAGACATAGACGTGGATAACAACACATATTGGAGACTCAAGATTCGGCAACTGCAAAGATCCGACAAAGGATGTTATATGTGTCAGATTAACACGCATGTTATGAAGAAACAAATTGGTTGTGTGGACGTGAAAGGTAATTTTTAAGGTTTATCTCATATTATGTTTACAACGCAACGTGAATAATTAATACGGTAAAACGGATACCTTACTCATAAATCATTTTTAAATTGCCAAAAACAAAAATGTAATATCATGTCTGTTGCTGGTATGAACATCGAATTTGAACCTATGTCGTAGCGTGTAAACTACAATGTTATTATTCAAACGTTTAATTTTTATTTTTCAACTCGTTAATCATAATTCAAATATAATATTATTATCGTGTTATCAATAAAAACAATCAGAAAATAAAAATAAATTATTCTAACCGAATGTATTCCATTAAAATAACAAAATATTTACAACGATAGTATTTATAATACGAATTATTTTTCAAATATAATTTTTTTCTTTATATTACGTCTTTATGATGAGGTATTGTTAATATTATATCGTTGACGACTTGAGGCGTAGGTGATGTGATAATTTTGTCATAGCTAATGAATAAGGAATTATTATCAAATTTTTAATCACCTGTAAATTGTTATGTCAGTATGAGATGGGATTCTCGATTATTTTATAATATTGAAGTATAGTTTATAATATTATTAGTAGTAATAAAATCTTAAATTTCAGTCGGAAACTCGGAAATAATATATTTTATGAAAAGCAAAGGACAATTGAGGGGATAGAATGAAAGTTGTGCAATTCCAAAAGTGCTGCGTTACTGCTGGCTGCACCATATGAATTTATATTTTATTATTACTTTTTTTTCTACGATATTTTGATTTTCGTTGTTTCGGCCACGTTGGCTGGCGTTGGCTGGCACACATATATTAATTAAAATTTTTGGAAAAAAAATCCAAACACTACGTTGAATTATTTATTACTGCAACCGCTGAAAACATAAAAGCTTTCCGGATAGTGCGATATATATGTATGAAAAATGAAGTCAATCGAATTTATTTCTGTCTACGATTTATATTGAAATTTTTCCCACTGTCATAACATTTTTACCCCCATTGTTAAACGGTGTTTAAAATGTCATCGGCTGTGGAGTTACTAGGCGTCCCGTTGTTTGCATGAGAATAATACGAACGACTGTTGGTGCACTGTAGGCGCAGATAGAATATGCGTACCTTATATTATATAGGTACCTAAAATATGTGATTAGAAAAAAAAATTACTATAAATAATGGTATTTTAAAATTGATAAAACGATTCTAGGGAAGATTGGCTTACTAAAGTGTTAAGAAGACGTTTATTTATTTATTTTTTAATATTAACTGACTATACATTATACCTAGAAAAAATGCATTGGTATAGGTATCACTTATTATATTATATTCTTATGAAATATTACAAGAAAAAAAAAAAATTTACAAAATTAAAAATGCAATAAACTTGCCTGTATCAGAATGTTCGTTCGTAAATAAATTCCTAAATTAATATAATATCTGTAGAGTTATTTTGAATAATTATTTACCGATGCTCTAACTAAATATCCGTTTAAATACGATATCCCATAATTTAATATAATCGTGATTTTATCTCCAAGCCTATGTTAAAAAAAAAAAAAATGCTAATTGTATGCGTTTAACGTCATACAAACAAATTCGTTTCATTACGATTTGATTGTCGAAATCGGTGGTACCTAATATAATATGCGATTAGAGTTAACTGTAAAAATAAATTTTTATAATAATGGTATTTTAAAATTGATAAAACGATTATAGCGGAGATATGTTTACTAACGTGTTTATGAGACGTTTATTTATTTATTTATTTTTTAAATATTGACTACCTAGAAAAAATGTATTACCAAGTAGGTTGTATCACTTATTATATTGTATTCTTATAGAATATCACAGAGAAAAAAAATGATATAAAATTAAAAATGTAATAAACTTGCCTGTGTCAGAATGTTCATTCGTAAATAAATTCCTAAATTAATATAATATCTGTAGAGTTATTTTGAATAATTATTTACCGATGCTCTAACTAAATATCCGTTTAAATACGATATCCCATAATTTAATATAATCGTGATTTTATCTCCAAGCCTATGTAAAAAAAAAAAAAAAATGCTAATTGTACGCGTTTAACGTCATACAAACAAATTCGTTTCATTACGATTTGATTGTCGAAATCGGTGGTACCTAATATAATATGCGATTAGAGTTAACTGTAAAAATCAATTTTTATAATAATGGTATTTTAAAATTGATAAAACGATTATAGCGGAAATATGTTTACTAACGTGTTTATGAGACGTTTATTTATTTATTTATTTTTTAAATATTAACTACCTAGAAAAAATGTATTACCAAGTAGGTTGTATCACTTATTATATTGTATTCTTATAGAATATCACAGAGAAAAAAAATGATATAAAATTAAAAATGTAATAAACTTGCCTGTGTCAGAATGTTCATTCGTAAATAAATTCCTAAATTAATATAATATCTGTAGAGTTATTTTGAATAATTATTTACCGATGCTCTAACTAAATATCCGTTTAAATACGATATCCCATAATTTAATATAATCGTGATTTTATCTCCAAGCCTATGTAAAAAAAAAAAAAAAAATGCTAATTGTATGCGTTTAACGTCATACAAACAAATTCGTTTCATTACGATTTGATTGTCGAAATCGGTGGTACCTAATATAATATGCGATTAGAGTTAACTGTAAAAATCAATTTTTATAATAATGGTATTTTAAAATTGATAAAACGATTATAGCGGAGATATGTTTACTAACGTGTTTATGAGACGTTTATTTATTTATTTATTTTTTAAATATTAACTACCTAGAAAAAATGTATTACGTAGTAGGCCGTATCACTTATTATATTATATTCTTATAGAATATCACAGAGAAAAAAAATGATATAAAATTAAAAATGTAATAAACTCGCTGGTATCAGAATGTTCGTTCATAAATAAATTCCTGAAGTAATATTATTATATCTGTAGAGTTATTTTGAATAATTATTTACCGATGCTCTAACTATAACGAAATATCTGTTTAAATACAAAATCCCATAATTTAATATAGTCTTGATTTTATCTCCAATCCCATATAAAAAAAAAAATTCAAATTTTATGCCTTTTTATTAACGTCATACAAACAAATTCGTTTCGTTGCGATTTGATTGTCGAAATCGGTGCGACAGAATACACGACGATGCGGTCGAGTGATGCGGCAACAAACATTTATGCGACAGCCAACCACTGCGATACATTTTCACTCATTTGTCACACTCCCTCTCAAACTTTGTCCGTAAACCATTTACCGAACGACGCGATAGTGACAATTAATTTCGTCAAACTTTATGTTAATCAACATTAATATTATCATCGTTGACCTATATAAATCGTCTAAATGTCTGAATCGTCAGCTGTATTATTATCAACGTACTCACGACTTGAGACGAGAATGACAGCCTGCAGAGCATATTATTTTAAGTAATTTTCACTGGGTGGCACTTCAATAAAATTGTTTACCAGATGAACGTAGAAGGGAAATAAACTCTATTCTATATCAACAATATAGGTTTAATGACTGAACTCTACTGAAAAATATATCTACAAGTTTAATATAGGTCTATCTCTACCGAGACACATATCAACATAACCGATTTTTCAATAATAAAACCTATATAAAATAAGTAAAACAGAGTATATATATATAAAGCTATCAGTATCTGTATTTAAAACAAGTATATACTAAAATTTAAAATTGCATGTTTGAATCAATGAAAAAAAAAAAACGTTTGTATAATTCCTTGATTCTTGTATAGATCTGGGTCAGGTAGTTTCCTCCTTCTCTCCATAGACTCAAAAAACTTAGCAACAGGCGGGCCTGGGGTCAAACAGTGTTGTTCTAATCCCATTGAGAGCGATATACCTACATTCTAGAATTTATAGCCTCTCTTGAATAACTCGATTGTTTGTTAGTTAGGTAGGTACTATAGCCACTAATATAGTGAGGTTTTAACGAATTTAACGCGGCGCGGCCGTGGTGTTGTGGATAAATCATTAAATTCAATCGGCAGTCACAATGAACAATGAAAATAATCAGCAAAATATTATACTATTATAAGATACTGAAATAATTGTTGTACATAGACACAAGCTACGCCACTGGTGTAGGTACATCCGAGTACATTCGCGTACGCAGGGGGGGGACTAAGGGGGTGAAGCTCCTCCATTGTCATATTATTATCACTTTAAAAAAAAAATATTTATAAAGTTTCAATACTAACGATTATTTTCTAGAACTTCAATACTATAGTAAGTAAGACGTAAAATTCATAATTTAACAGAATGAATTGATTTTTGAAAAAAACATTGTATTTGCTACCAATTTTCCTAAAATGATCTGTAATTGTTCGATAAAAGTATGAACTACTTGTATGAAAGAGTTACAAACACTTTAAAATACTTCAAATAAAGGTCTGAAATTATTAGACTGGACAAAATAAAAACAAAATTGTAACTAATTTTCAAGCCCCCCCCCCCCCTCATTGAAAAATCCTGCGTACTCCACTGTCCGAGTAGGTATCATATTAGAAGAGTACCATAAATATTTCACTGCTGTAAACGTATACGAATACTCCTAAATAATTGTATAAACGTAATATAAAATGTACCTGTACAGTGTTTGGTTAGGTTAGGTTATAGGGTAACATAGCACGTTATTCACACCCAGCCTTCAATTTATGAAGACGATGACGATCGGCGACTTCTGAAGTACTTCATTGCATTGTTAAAATTAAGTGTATTATTACATCTATATCTATTCATATTTTATATCAATATATAAACAATTCCGGCAAAGTATTGCGGCTTGTGACATGTTCTACATTCAATAAAATATTATTGTTTGTTATATAATATGGGATAAACCAGGGCTTAAAACCGGTAACCGGTTTGTAACGAAAACCGGTAAAAAACCGTAAATTTGAGAACCAAAAACCGATAACCGTTCTTAGTTTTGGAATGCTGGAAGCGGTTATTGGTTATCGGTTATCAAGGTAAATATCTAAATATTAACATCAAAGCGGTTACCTCGTTTTTTCAATCCCGGTATTATAACCAAAATCTATTCCTGACCAAAAAATTAACGGTTTTTTCGTGGAATTTAATACTTGAATTACGTCATGATTACATTAGAGTTGAATTTAATTTGCCAGCTATTTTTAAATTTTTTTCCCCAATTAATTGTCGTCGAGTATTGCTTATTTGTTGTGTATATCACACACACACACACACACATATATATATATATATATAGGTATAATTGTTTAACTAATATTATAAATACCGTCATAAACATCGTCGTCGTCCTCGGGCGCTGATTCCTATTACGAAATAGTTGGTGGAATAGGGGCTTAGTCCATTTAGTATTTAGTATTTACTACATTTTAATACTGTCTATCACACTTTATATTTTATACATTGGTCAATGATATTATTTTAAAGCTGTTGTTTAAACTTTAAAGTGTTTAAAGGGGTTAAGATTTAAATAATTTGAAGAATAACTACATATATTATACACGGAAATTAAAAATGAAGAACCCTGTTCTTGAAATGTATTTTACGTATGATATAAATAAAAACAGTAGTAAATGTAATGTAGTGGGATGTACCAAGTATAATATATCTGGTAAGCATTCGTCAAACTTGGAGAAACACATTTTTGCCCTTCACAAAAATTAGTACAAAATTATTATATATTATTTCGGTTTTTTACGGTTATAAAGAAGAAAATTATAACAATAACATTTTTTTATGCAATTTATTTTTTTGATTTATTAAGATCGCCATTATCTTGATCATATGTTTTAAACTTTAAAGCAGTTTGAAAAAATAAATATTTAAATTGAAGGAAATCGACCAAATTAAAGCATATTAAGTTTTTGATTTTGTAATAATAATAGTTATGTTATCAACCCACGAATAACCTAAATAAACTGTTTCAAAAATATGATTAAAAAATTGAAAAAAAATGATTTTTAAAAACCGGTTTTAACCGGTAACCGATTACCAAAAAATATAATCAACGGTTTTTAAACGATTAACGGTTATCATAGTGTTTGAAATATCTTTAAAGAAACGGTTACCGGTTACCAAAATATCAAAATTAAACGATAACCGGTTACCGGTTTTCAAAAATTTTCGGCTCCTACTGGAGCCGATTACCGACTTGATTGATAACGGTTTTAAGCCCTGGGATAAACTATACAAGAGTCGAGAGCTTAACATAGTTTTATGTTCTTTATATTATATTGTATACATAGTAATTAATAATTGCCATTGGTCGTTATGAGAACAGAGAATGTGTTGGTCAGTGGTACGATCACACACCACTCAGTAGCATTCAAATATCACTGGGGGGCAATAGTGCCACGTACTTTGTATGTTAAAATATGCTCTGACAGCCTGCATCGTCATATTATTATATTCAAAACTTATACGCAATTGTATTTCAATCAAACGATTTGACTCGAATGATTTGACAGTAAAAGGGTCACAAAGTATTTTTTTTTTTTTTTAGGATGAAAACTTAATACCAAAACCTTGAAAGTATTCCAATCCATATGCCTACGCTTAATAACCTCTGCCCCTTGGTATGTAACCAACAAAAACCTCCACAAAGACCTTAATATTCCAATCCTCAACGACTTAGCCAAATCTCATTACATAAAATTCCACTCAAAACTTCGCGCTCATTCAAATCCATTGATTAAAAATCTATCCACTTCCTCACTCATTCCTAGAGGGTTTAAAAAAAAAAAAGCTAATTTCTGGTCAGGTGGCACTGCTGGGAGCCTTCCTATTAATGATATTTTATGTCTAATGTTCTTACGTCACCACACTTACTCATTATACCTTGTCTGTTGTATAGATTGTAAATATTCTTTTTAAAATAAAATTAAAAAAAAATGCCCATAAAAAAAAAAAAAAGGATGAAAACTCTTTATTATTATACCATAATACCGATTCGGAACAATTTAATGAAAAGTGAGTTTTCTGTGTGACCAAATGGCAATAGTACTTAATAATATTATTCTGCTCAACAGCGGTCTCCCCTTGACTGGTTGCAAATAAGTCACACCATGAAAAAAAATTAATACGATTTCTTAGGAAAACTATACCAGCAAGTCACCTTATATTTAATATTTATAATATTTTAACTACACCACGAACACGTGTTCAGTTCGCCGGTGGCGTGAAAATTACACAATACAAAACTCCACGGAGTCATAACTGAAACAACAGTTATTTTTCAAAAGTTATTTTCCGTCTGTACACACCAGGTTTTGGTGAAGTTTTGGTCTCGGTTTTATTCTTGTGGCAAAAAGAAAAAGCTGGATGCCAATTATTGTCTGACAAATATTTTTACTTTCAAAGAGGTCTTTTGGCACGTACTCGAAACCCATTTCAACGGAATAACAGTCCAAGTTTATGTTCGACTTTTTTTGTCATGTTTCTCATGCAAAATATTCAACGAGCTTAGTTTTTAAAATTAAATGAACTTTATAAAGGTGGTGTTTATTTACACACTTAAAAGATTATTAAAATATTTTCAGGTCTTCTCCGCAGTATGGCTAGCTATAGTATCTGACATCAATGATTTCATAGATCTCTTATTTCCACTTAAAAATATGGCAACAAGACACATTTATATTACACATTTACACAAACTATAAAAACTTAACCATTGTCTCATATAGTTGCATTACATCCAAGAAAATTATAGTTATTAGAATAGGTAAGTCATAAACCATCATGATACAACCGTATATTAGGTATAGGTTATATAATAAACTATATAATATATTTTGTTTACACGTCATGAACACACTACAAGTTTAGTTTAGTTTACAATGATGTGTGTGTGTGTGTGTGTGTGTGTGTGTTTTCTGTCTGTCATCACTTTTTGGGGCAGTAAAAATGCTACTATTTTCCACTACAAGGAGGGTTTCTGGTAGAAAATTGATTATAATATTCTAGTTAGTACTTTGCGGGGTCAAAAGATTTATTGTCGTTTAATTATTATAAAATTAAAATGTTGGGTCCAAAATATGTATGTCATGGGTTAAGAAGGTGTCAATACATTTTGGGTACGGTGTTATGCTTTCGGCCATGGGTTATGTAAATATACGTTGGTGGCCACCACATAGGGATACATAAGGAGTGGATAATCTGTTAAACTTAAATTATAGATGTTATTACGGTACAGAGTAAACACGAACGACGAGCTTCGAGTTACTCGTTAGTTGCCAAAGTTTAAACACATGCTGTGTGAGCGGGGTTATTTAAATTTTCTGTTTACCGTACGTGATAAAACTAAAATTAACTGATATGGTTTTTCAGTGCGTATAAGGTTTGTTTTTGTGTCACACCAGCACCTTTTGTGACGCAGCTATAAATTGTATAGATCATCGTCCGCACGAGTCTCTAACAGGAGAAAAATGAAACCCAACTGATTTATACGATTTCGTTTAATAATAATATGTTAAACTAATATCACATACCTGCGGCTTACATTGTACGTGAATAACGTAACACATCGAACACTAATATTTAATTAGTTATAAATTAATTTAATACAACCGTCCCTTAAACACATTTTACATGATACCTACACATACAACGTACCGTGTTAAATATAATTTGGGTAAAAAGTTATTTGAAATATCCACAACCACATTTTTTTTTTTCTAGTCTTGTTATAATACGTCTATCAGCACATAATTAAAAATATCATTATTTTATTACGTAGTAACTGTATAAATCGGTTGGACAATGCCTAATTAAGCCAATAAATGTAAAATTATTTTTATTCAATGAATACACGTAACGGACTATTTATTTGATATATAATTTGTTCTAGAAGCAAAGTTAACTTTTTTCATTGTTTATTATATATTTTTTTTTAATCTTGAATTAGTTACGTACTTTATTTATGTTTAATGTTTAATATTATACTTATTCTATCTATTTTTGGACAAATATAGTATACAAGAATATTATGGATTATGTAAGTTTTCTGTGTATGTTTGTTACGTTGATAATAAATATTACTGTCTAGACTATATTATGTTTGATTTCAAAAGTGCGATTATTTTTATAATATAAAGTACAGACAGCTTACATGAATAAGAGTACAGCTTTGTAAGATAATATTTGTCTGGTAGTAAATTATTTTCGTTATTTCTGTATTTTGTGTGATATCTTGAATTCTTTTTAAGAACAATTTTCAATATTATATTTCATATTTTTTTAATGGGTTTATTTTTGTTTAAAAATAAGTTCCTTCATATAGCAATTTTATATAATTCATTATAGATTCTGCTAATGCTCGATACACTAAAATAATTTTAGATCGAGGAGGAAAATGTATCAGTTGGATTTTGAAACCAAACATTTTGTTTCTTAATTTATTTGTTACTCGTGTGTGATCATTCAATTTATGATGGTGGTACATTTTTATATCTATACAACATGTTTTCCAGGTTTTAATCGAATTTACGAAAGTTTGCAATTTAAATAATATATATTTACATAAGTATTATTGATACATTACTTATACACAGGTTTTAGACTTTCGAGTGATCTCGAGAATTTCGTGTGGGCCTATGCCAACGGGTAACACAAATAACAACTATCTGCAGCTCTTCTGGTCGATTCAGAATTTGGCACACTTTTGTTATTAGAGATATGACTACTTACTCTCTTCTTCGTACATTTTACTCCTGGCCTAGTATTTCGTTCCTGGCCAAGACTATGTTTTTGGAACTGCTTCCATATTGCTTACAGATTATTCCTGAATATTGATATGTATGATTTCTTTATAAGTTGACCTTCCGTTAAAAAACCAATATTTAGATTTTATAATTAATACTTTCAATGTTCATACTCGATCATAGTAATATAATCAATTTAATTTTTTTTCATAGTTCCACCGGACATCAAAGACGAAGAAACCATATCTGATATCACTGTAAATGAAGGTGAAAACGCTACATTGGCGTGCAAGGCCAAAGGCAATCCACTACCGAGAATTACTTGGAAGCGAGAGGATGGTCATAAAATAACTATAAAAAACAAATCGAAAAAAACATTATGTAAGCAATTACGTAATTTAATAATATTAATGTAAGGTAAATACAAACATGAATGACCTACTGTTAAAAAAGTGCACTTGGATCCTTACTTCAATATTTTTTATTTCTTTATTTGAATTACACTATAATTGTATGTGCTTATAACTAAGAAGCATAATACATATTATATGTGATGATGTTGTGGTGTTATAAACATGGGTAACGTGAGTAATAATCAATCCATTAGTGTTACTACAGTCTTGAGTTAATTTTAATATTATAATACAATAAAATTAGAACATTTAAGATGGCTTAAGGTGGACAATAATAAAGTATTACAATGGTCAATGACATTATATTCATAAGAACTGAGATAAAAATATTTAATAATAATTTTAGACTATGAAATAATACTGTCTGTGTAATACAGCGATAAAGGAAATAAGGGGGTTAATTAATTCAAAAGAAATATCATTACCGATGTTTAATTTTAAGAACTATATGGTAGTTTAATAATGTTGAAATTGGAAGCAACAGAGCTGAAAACAATATGATGATTCCAGAAGAGTGGGAGAATTCAAACAGACACCATGGGTTTTATTATTAGGATTTTGATGATTTTGATGTTTATTTTTTTTTCGCTTGAGGTGACATTTGCAGCTTGAAGACCCTTTGAAGTTCGGTATGTACCCCTACGCATAATGTGCACTTGGCTAAGCTGCATTTGCTTTGGTAGAGTGATTTGAAAGGTTATCTCCTCCAAACTCGATGCAACAGGAATTTATTACAAACGTTTGAAGTACTTTAACAAAATAATAGTCTTACAGTATTTTGATTTCATATAGTATTTCAACTTTGATAGGTTCGTGGTCAAAGAAAAAAAAGTAGCGGATGTCCAAGTTAGGTGGTGAATGTTTTTGATAACGACACCATAGTTCCGAAAGGGTGATGAGAGGAATGACTAGGATGTACCTGTGGTCTGTGTTCACGTTTTTCATGACTGCATTATAATCGAATGGTCCGTGTGGAAAAATAATCGAATATGAAGGCGTTGACTTAAACAAAAATGAATTGTTCCCATAAGACTTAATACTAGAGTGTTTTTGAATGCAGTGTGTAGATCTAGTCCAGATATGACTGTCGTATTTGTCGACCGAACAGTGTAGTGATAAGACAGTGGTTCTTAGAATAGAGAGTTAGCACCCTGGAATGATCCCCTTAATTTCCTAATCAGACAGTGTTTTGAGTAAGTTAATCTCTTGTCTCGTATTTTTGCAGTGTCGTTTGAAAGTTAACGATCGGACCAGAGTTAACCGCATAGATATTTAGGGAATGTGGTATCTTCCAGTTATTTTCCTCGCTACTTCATGATTTCGGATTTCTGGTTGGCTTGTCTACTACGAAAATGAAAGGCAAATATCTGGGTTAGGTTGGCCGTCAGTTTCCTGATGGTAATCTAGAGTGTTCTGGAGTGAAGAGTTCAACTTGATAGAAGTTTAACATTATTAGGTCTCTTCCTCCCAGTGTATCCCAGGCTAAGTAAATGGCTAAATATCTACTACATAGTACGCAGAGAACAATTCAGCTATTAAGTCCAAAGGTGGGTAATAAGATATGTGCTCTACAAACAACCTTCCTCTATTACAGTTGGTTGTGGCGCTATTATTGATAATATCTGATACAGTTGCACTGGATTTAACTATCAAAAAACCGTGAAAACGTAAAGAGTAGACCTATGTCAATCCTGAGCTAATTTCAATATTTTATTTAATATATCAAACACATGATTTCCTAGTATAATATATAATGTGCACCATTAAAATATATATCAAGTAAATATTTTTAATTACATTTGTCCATGAAAAATACTTAATTTTGTTGTTTGATTTTTATTATTTTAGTCTATAATAGGTAAAAACAATATAATGTTAGTTCTGACCAAAATTGTTATCATATATAATATACCTGTCTGTACCTATAATCACTTTTACACCATAATAATTATTTTCAAATGTTATAATTTAATAATATGGTATTTATTTTTAAATATGACAATATTATTGCACAGTAAAAACTAGGTAATATGGTGACGTATTTATATATTGTTATTAATAAATTATAAACCAAATATTTAAACTATTTTACATACAATTTTCATACAAATTCATTAATGTTTAATACTAATATTTCAAATTAGTTATAGAATCATATAAATAATGTTTTTTGTTTTTAATTACATTTTGAACTGAATTTAATGTTTAATTGGGGGACGAGGTGGCCGAGCGGTCTAACGCGTCGACTGCGGCGCTGGCAGTCGCGGGTTCGCCTCTCGACCACTGGGCGGCATTTTTCTCCGGGCAAGTCACGGTGTCCGGAGTACAAGTGCCGCCATCCCCCAACCCGGGGCATGGCAGAAACCTACGGGTGCCCCAATAAAAATTCTGCCACCACAAACACACACGTGTACCAACCTACCCAATCTAAAAACCTACAGTTCCCTACCAACACCCAATGGCCTATGTTGCCGCGGGTTATCCAATAAAAAAAAAAAAAAAAAAAAAAAAAAATGTTTAATTATTTCTATAACGATAATATGGGCTTTGCTGAACCTATTTTACAGACTAATTTCTCGAAAACACATACTTAATGCTTAGAATACGTAGGGCATACGTCATCTAATATTGAACGAGCAGCTGAGATATGAATATATAGACGGAGGTGAAATACGTTTTGTAATTGTGGATTTTAGAGCTACAGTTATAATGTCAGATTATTAGATCAAGGATATTAAATTTGAATAGCGTGTATAATAATGTTGAATTGAATAGATTCCTTTTGATCCGAAGTAGAGTACCTATGTAGATTTTGTTGGACATATTGTAATTCATCATGGTTACTATAATCTCACATAAATGCAGAGGATAAAATGTGTACCTATAAATGTATCAACAATAACTTATTAATTGTTTAGTATACTTTAAAATGTAGGTTGGTATTATATAGCTCTTGTAGGTTTCTAGTGTATCTGGTCATTGAGCAAGTCACTGCAATATTGGAATTTAATGTTACGATTCTGGCAGCCTATATAACTAAGTATAATATTTAAACTACCATTATAATAATTTGTTTTACTGTTAGTAATATGGTAGGTAGATAAAATTTTTTTCTGAAAATATTGCATTTATTATTTTATCAATGTTTAATTATAATAATAGTGTATATTTATATAATGTATTATTTTTATTAACTTTCGAGTCAATACTGTCTTACATTATAGGCAATTGATTAAATTTTATCTAAAAGTTTTGAAAATGTCATTATGTATACATATAGCACCTATATAAACAAAATTATTAAAACTGTTATTTCTTGATTAAATATATAATTCCATTCAAATTTCCAATTCAAATATCAAAATATTTTGAAATTATACCATATTATCTGGATAATTGCTAATATAAATATTTGTTAAGAATTTCATGTATTTATAGTCATTCGTTTTTGAATTCCATAGTCACATAAAAATAAAAAAATCGATTTTGTCTTTTGAAAACTAATTTTGTGGAAAAATTATCGTATTTTTCTATTTTTTTTTTTTAATTTTTCCAAATTATTATAAAAAGTACTGTGCCGTTTTAACTGTTAACCCCCCTACATACGATTTCTTATCAGAAAATATATTATGACTTTGAAAACCTAAGGATTTTTACTGCATCAAAGGTGGAGACAGAAACAATAAATAACACACACAGTCACCTCATCATTGTAAAATCAATAGATTTATCGCTCCCCTCAGAATGACAGAATCTAAAGTAATATTATAATATATACTTCCAAAATAGATAATATATGATAAAAACAATTACAATAGTACCTATATTATATCAAATTAAAAAAAATTTGCTTTTTCGTATCTCAAATGCATAAAATTCTCTGAACTATATTCACTAAGTATACTATAATATAGTATAATATTTGGATCGTTTATTTGAATATTTAGATATTTTATTTTTCGAATTTAGTTTTAACTTGTTAGTTTTGTCGATGATGCAAATAAATATTAATTTAACTTGACGTTGATCCTGAGCGTACTGTTTACCGATTGTATTACTACTCCTATATTCAAAATAACTGTCAATGTCTAACCACAGGTATAATAATGTTGTTCGTGGCATTATCTGACGGATGGGCAGTTTTAAATACACGTCAGTGAAAATTTAAACATGTGTGAAGTTTTAGTAATGCAAATTACAGATTTATGTTATGTAAGCAGGACAATTATTATTCTCTTCCTCTTCCATACGTTTCGTTATTCATTCGACGATTGGAATCTGATTCGACCACATAGCATCGTAGCTATTGTATTTCTATAGCTGTGCAAATGTTTAGTGAATTGTTTAATATTGTTCGGCAAATAAAGAAAAATTATGGTATCACTTTTGCCACATCACAAACACATTTTACATGCTTATCGCTTAACATTCCATCCCTTTAAATCTATTTGATTGTATATTGTAAAATGTCTGAGGTAACCCATTCAATGTAAGATGTTCTTATTTATATCATAAAACACCTAAGTTTTTGAAAATATTTATTTTACATCATTTTAAGTCGTAACAAACCAACATTTTTGGAAAAATATTATAATATTCATTATAATTGTTTATTTTTATAATTTTTTAAGTTTTTACTCTTTTGAGTAACAGCATAAGCGCATAAAATACTCGTCCAAAATTAAATTTGTATGAATCAAAAGCACTCCAAAAAATATTTTGCTTAAAAATTATGAATTAAATATGCATTTTGTCGTAAAAAAGATTAAAAAGATTTTGTTTTTGACGACCTAAAACTTTTCAAAAACATTAATGATTTTTGAAACAATAATGAGTGTCTTACGTTAATAATGTTTGATGTAGTATAATGAATGTAATTTTTTACTATATTATTATTTTGGATGGAATCAGAAAAGATCGTAATTTATTGTTATTATTGTTTATATAATTTCAAAAAAGATTCTTTAGGAAACGTAAATTATTTTGAGGCAAATGTGTTCGAATACGTTAATTCTTTTATTATATTATAATGTATTGGAATGCGTTATATTATACCATGAATTATTATAAGTTATACCTAACGAAAATACCCGGTATCTAACCAAAATTAATGCGGTCCATAAGGTATCTATATTTGATTATGTTTTCATCATTATATGAGTAATTTCGATCGACTCAACTCACATAATATAGTGATGTATTTTTGTTATTATTATCCATTGAATTATTTGGAGAGTTATCCATGATGCACATAGGTAATATTATGTTAAACTTGCAAAGATAATTATGACGTATTTAGCAACGGCTAACGAGTAATTTATTATAGTCGTCCCAACAGTTTAAAGTGCTTTTGGTACGGATTAGGTCTATTATAATAATTATATATTGTTGTTGGAAATACCTAGCGATATTATTATATTATTGATTTCACACGGTGTTTATTATTTGTTGACCAGTTGATAGGGTACGTGGAGAACCGCTGTTGCTCAACAAAGTAGACCGCAGTCAGATGGGACATTATTTGTGCATAGCGTCCAACGATGTACCGCCGGCTGTTAGCAAGAGGATCACGTTAAATGTTAACTGTGAGTATTCAGCATATTATTCTGCTCAACATCAAATCCCTTTTCAGCAGCAAACCGCAAAATCGTTATCAGAAAATTAATTAAATAATTTGAATACTGGATTATATACACGATATGTCCGGGGTTCAAACACACTTGGTGACATTTCATTAGACTGTTGTTGACCAAACGGTTATTTACAGTACGGCACTCGACTGCAGCTTTCGAGCACTATCCCCAATTGGCAATAACCACTGCGAATTTAATAATAAATATTAAAATACACTCAAACAACGAGTGAATATTATTATCAAATTTACCAGGCAGGACAACGATCGCGTCAACTTTTTGGTATTCGGACGAGTCGAACATAATATTGTCGAACCGTTTTGATGCAGAAATAAATTCTGTTCAGATTTACTAATACGCTCATTCGTTTTCCCTCATTGTAATATATGGTTCAATGCGTACTTTTCGGATGAAATAATATATTTTTTTTTGTTCAGCTTCGGTTGATTTTATAAACCGTTATATTTTGTATACAGACCGATTTATTAATAAATATGATACTTGATCATTAATGATACTAGGTCAGTGGTGTTCCTATTACCTACGCACTTCATAATAAGTGGTATATTGTTCACGATCTGACAGGTGTTACACGTATATCATAATATATGAACTCTGTAATAAATTGCGTATTTTTATGCAAATTAAATATTGGATCTACCCATTATTAATAATTTATCGTAATATGTTGTGCTTGCGTTAAATGTCGTGTACTAGATTGTTTGGATAACGTAAACTGATATTTTTTTCGGACCAATAAATATTCATATTGTAATTATTATTATAAATTTCCAACCACGTTTTTTTTTCGTATTTTGTTATAAATTTAAAATAATATATTTTACATATTATCGGGGGTAGTAAAAACGGTTTTGGTTTTTTTTTCTAATTAAAGAATAAAAATATTTCGATAAGCTTTCAATATTTTAAACCAATGCGCTTATAATTTATTGAAATAGTTCCTTTTAAAATGGAGAATTTCAACAAGTGTATTAAAGATATTTTAATGTAAGACGTCTTAGACGTACTTTCAATATTATTCTGATATAAGAAGGAAGTAATGATAAATGTTTTAAATTCTGAATCTAAGTAATTGGATACTACTCCTTTTAGATTCTGAGTGAAACGATGAATGTATTGATTTTACAATGATGTGTGTTTTTTTTTTTATTTTTTTATTTATTTTTTTTTTTTTTTTTTTTTTTATTTTTTATTTTTTTTGTGTCTGTGTACACGATAAGTAGTCGAAATAATGCTTCGATTTTCGACTTCAGTATCTTGTTCGATTGGAAAGTGAATATCGTTGGTGCATTGGGGAGGTCAAAATTTAAAATTCCCAGTACTTTTCAAAAGCGCCAAGAAAAACAAAAGAAAAATTAAGGAAAAACGGGAATTTTTACGCAAAATCGATTTTTCAGAAAATTGAATTTGGTTTTTGGTGTAACTTTAAAACAAATCACCGTAAATACATGAAATTTTCACCGGTTGTTTATATTTGCATTTTCTATACACGATAACATTTTCAAAATATTTTGATTTATTTTGAACTGTTTAGAGACATTTCCATTTTTCATTTTTTTTAGTTTTTTTTCTAGAAATATCAATAAAATTTTATTTGTTGGTTGCGAAAGCTTGAAAATTTAATAGAAGGCTCCTAGTATATTGTTTCAAAGGCAGATGAAAAATATTAAAAATCGTTAGTCACAGTTTTTTTTTATAAGCATTTAAAGTTCAAAAATTGACAAAATATGGAAAAATCACGAAAATTAGCAAATTATTTTGAGTTAAGAATTCGTAAAAATTTTTCTTTTTAAATCTAAGATTTTAAAATGTAATACAAGATTACTCATAAGTTTGTCTACCTTTATCAATAAAAAAATCTCTACCAGACAGTCAAATTAAATTTTTATGAGCGTTTGAAATTCAAATTTATACAACATTGGATGTTCACTCGATTTCTCATGTAGCGATTTCCTTATTTTGTTGTTATTCATAAACGAATAACTATAGATACATGAAAATTTCACTGAATGTTTATATTAGCATTTCCTATACACCATACAATTTTGAAAATATTTTGACTCTTTTTGAGCTATTTACGGATATTTTCATTTTTCAATTTTTTTAGTTTTTTTTTCTATGAATATCAATAAAGTTTTATCTGTTGGGCCAAAAAGTGTAAAAATTTAATACAAGGCTCCTGATATATTGTTACAATATCAGTTGAAAAATATTAAAAATACATAGGCACAGTTTTTTTTTATAAGCATTTAAACATCGAATTTTGACAGAATTTTTCAAAATTTCGAAAATTATTAATCATCGTAATTAATAAATTATAAAATGTTCAGTTTTTATAGCTAAGGATTGAAAATTTAAAACAAGATTCCACGTAAGTAGTTAATTCTCTTACCAAAAAATCTAAAAAATATACAATCATAGTTTATTTTTATAGTCATTTTTTGTTCAAATTTGGACGAAATTACATATTAAAAAACCTAGTTATTTTGTTGTGATTATATAATATTATTCGTGGGTACCTACTTGAAACTTCTGAAGTTTACTATTATATATCAATGATAGTATCAGGATTTGTTATTGATGTTGATGTATAACGTGTTATAAGTACCTAATGGATATTGTGATAATGTGATATGATTAATTTGGAATTTATTATAGGTCAATTTTTTTTTAATACCATAGATATGTATATAATTTGTCTTAAACCTAGACTGACATACCGTCTTCGCTCAGAATCGTTTTTCTTATACAATGATATTGTATCATTGAATTCAAATTTAATACCATCCATTATACAGTGACCCACTTGTAACCTACAGTACAGCAGAGCGACATCCACTTACCCACCTTTTTTATTTTGAAACTAAAAAAAAATAAAAAGCTGATACAAGAGTTTGGCTTAGAACTCTGGGTTATGTTTGTTACATTATTAGTACTATTATAACAATACATTTTAAAACAATGCTATAAGACCACTTATTTTGGCAAACAATAATGAGATAATTTAAAAATAAAACCTCATTTTTTTTTTATATTTTAAATTCTTACCACTGTTAATTCTTACAGTTACCTAATTAGGAAACCGATAAAAGACTACGGCTGGGTACCAATTTGACTTGATTTAAATTTATTTTCACATAGCTCAATAATGTATTAAAGGACTAGCCCCCTTAATAATGTGTTCATCAATTCGGCAACCTTTGTGAATCTTTTAAAACACCCATTTTCAGAGTAAAATTGATATTCACAAACTTTATTGGGTATCTAATAAATGTATATATTTATCGGTTTGTTCAATATTCAAAATATAATAATATTGAAAAATGTTAAACGTTTTTCAAAACTATTGTTTGAGAGTTATAGCTGTAATTATTAATCTATTATAAATAACTAATGCAATTGTGTATACTATATCAAACCACCTACATCTATAACTTTGATGAACGTAATAATGATGAATCAATCCATAAAAGTTGGGTCAAATGTAGTAAAACTTTTAAGTTTTTTAAGTTGTAATCATTCAACATTATTTTTTTTTACACATTTCAGTTTCTCCAGTAGTCTGGGTGACGAATCAGATAGTAAGTGCACCACTTGAAACACATGTGCGACTAGAGTGTTTTGTAGAATCATTTCCCAATTCCGTCAATTATTGGTCCAATGACAAAGGAGACATGATTCTTCAAGGGTAAGTACTAGATGCTTATAAGTTGTAGTATATATTATCAATTGTTGAACCATGAAAATTTGCCTACTTGAAACTGTACCTATTCTAAAGTAGGCTAAACACAACGATATTTCATACTGGAAAAATAAATATAATAAAAGCATAGTTAATTAATATTCAGTTAGTTATAAAATTCCTCTTTATAAATATTACAAAATATCTACAATGTTAAAAAAATATTATTTTTACAGTTTACCATTTTAATTTTTTTTTTTTTTAATATCGCAAGATAATATAATTTACAATATATTGATTGACTTTATAATAACTTGGACTTTTCACCGTTAAACTATTTTAACTTATAAAGAACAAGTACAACTATTATTTCAATAGAATTACAAACTAAAAAGTTAAAAGCGTAGTGTACATAATAATAATTGTTTAGTTTTAGTGTATAAAGTAAAGTACAACGAATAGTTAGTTAACATAAGGTATCTCCGTACGACGTATAGAAGTCTAATATTAAAACGAATATTTCGTTAGCTTAATTAAAATGTGATAAATTGCCCGTGTGTGGTACAAGTTTATATTATAAAATCTATAATTTTAATTAAGGGGCTTTAAGCGTTATTTATTAGACATATTATTACTCGATTTAAAAAAAAAATAGCTAAACGTGTTAGTTTTTTTACTCGTCTCTTAAGGGCTTATGTGCATACATCAAGAGGTGTGTCATTGTTATCCAACAATAGGTACTTGCAAACTAACAAAACAATTCATTGCGGTATTGAATTGTATGTACCTATGTACGCAAACTAGCTGATGAAATTATTATATCCCAGTCATTGTTATAATATATGTGTTAGCGTCAAAACCTGGCGCTCATAATTTATCTACCTATTTGGAAAACAAAAATGTTTGCCATGGGAATACCGTTAATCAAAAACCCGATGGTATAAAAGGTTGAAAAACAATCGCGATTCCCAGTCTTAATTAAGCCGCTCATTTCTTTACTAACACTTGTTTTTGAAACGGAGAAAAATAGTGAAAAGGAAAAAAAAAACCACCCTGGAGCAAATGGAAAATGCTCTGTTTGCTCGTATAATCTGTTAACAAGATGAAGATGACAGCGCACAGGTTGGGAATGTATATATTTCTTTCTTGTTGTTTATTATTAGTCGTTCAATAGCCGAGTCGAGTCACGTCGTGCACTCCTTACCATTCAATTAATTACAACGGTCATATTTGGGGGTAAAGGCAAAGGCGGAATTAGTTATCCAATCAGAATTTCCTGTCTCATCGATCATCTAAAAGGAAAATCTGTTTATTGAAAAACGTAATAAAATATCTGTCATTTTTTTTTAAATAAACGCAAAAATAAGCTGAAATCATGGTACTTTTACCATCGTTTTTGAATTATGTATTCATTTAAAAATTATGCTCGATCTATCGGGTATTTAATATACTCATTTGACATGATTTATGGAAAAATTACATGATAGTAATAATATAATATTTTTGGTGATCAATTGTGTAGACTTTTAAAAATGTTGTATTCGATATCACAATTTAACATGTTGTTGAATAACAGATATTAGTTACCTTCATTTATTATCACGTGTATTATTTAAATTTTAAATACGATCATATTATAATGCGGTGTGAAACGGTGCGTCCGGTTGGACGACCCGTGTCGTAAATAAAATAACAATTGTGTGCTCGATAATCAAGTTTTTCTATTGCTAGGTTAAATTATAATTTATATTTACAATATTGGGACAAGTAAAGCGTCGATTTGTGCCGACCGGACTTAAATAAGTGAGTCGGCACAATCGGAGGCGCTTGGGTATTGTGGTCGGACAATTGTCGGACCCTATCTTCACAAGTGTTTTTATAATGATTTATATAAGTTATACAATATGATCGGCTAGGAAGCCGGCCGTCGTCGGTGCAGACTTAAGTCAAGCGGCACCCCGACGACGAACCAGACTTGGGTCGGACAACTTAATCAAGTGCCGAGGTTAGGGTCGTGGTGGCCCTGAAAAGGGCCATTTAATGTTGTCACGCCGTGAGTGGTCGGCCTATCCGGTGATCCCGTAGGCTTGGGTGGTTGAGTGGCGGTCGGGCGGCCTCGTCACGGCAAGAGTACACTGACACTGGTCTCTCCCCGTTGAGCGGCAGTCACGGGGTCGGTTGGTTCTGACGATGATGGCGTTGTTGATCGACCGATCTTTGCGCCCGTAGATAGGTGGTCGACGGGTCGTTATTGTTCGGCAGTTGAATGACGTTTACAGCCGTGGAGCGGCGTCGTGGTCGATATGCGTCGGTGTGATGATATACGCAATCGGGAACGGCGGGAACGTCGGTGGTCTGCGGTCGAATGGCGCTGGTAGCCGTGGAGCGGCGTCGTTGTCGATATGCGTCGGTATGATGATATACGCAATCGGGAACGGCGGGAACGTCGGTGGTCTGCGGTCGAATGGCGCTGGTAGCCGTGGAGCGGCGTTGTCGTCGGTCTTCGGCGGTCGATTTCTGGTCCTGGTCTTCTTGCTATCGGAACGTTTCTTGGAGATGTTGATAGTTTGAAGGATTGAAGTGGACTGACTAGATTGCTTTGCTTTGGGAGGGGTGGCTATGCCGTTTACTATTCCAGGCTTGTGCCTCTACTAGTGGATGGATTTTGGGGTTGATTGGTAGGTTCAGTTATGTAAGTCAGTCCAATTTAATGGGTATGGTTTGAGTAAACGTTTGGTGGTTGGAGGGGAGTGGGTTTTACCTAAGAGGCGGATATGATCGTATTCGGAAAAAGAGTTATTGTAGAACATTGTTTTTGATTGAGAGCAAATGGAATTTTGGATAGATTTGAAGTTGGCTGATTTTAAAAGGACCGAGTTTCTAACGATAGTGGGCATACCGGTTATCGTGCGTATGCCGATGTTTTGGACGGATTCAATACGTCTCCAATGGGAGGGGCCGATAAAGGGTGCCCAGGAAGAGCCAGCATATGTAAGTATAGGGGTCACGTAGAGTTTAAGTATGTTAAGTTTTGTTTTCAGCGGAACGGGACTAGTACGGTTAAGTAACGGGTAAAGCATACCACGGACGCGGGTAGCTTTTTTGGTTACGTCTTGAATGTGTTGGTTGAATGTAAGTTTACGTCCAATCGTGACGCCTAAGTATTTGGCCTGTTTTGACCAGTTAACGGGTTGGTTATCGATGGTTAGAGGTGGAATGTGGGTTGTATTAGAACGCCCGAAGAGGACGCCTACTGTTTTGGTCGGGTTTATTTTGATTCGCCACCTGTGGAACCAGTTGGACGCGAGGTTGAGTTGGTGTTGTAGTTGTATGGTTGCACGTTTGGGGTTTTTATTACTAGTAAAGAACATCGTGTCGTCAGCGAAGAGTGAGAGGTTGGCTTTAGGAGTCGTTGGAATGTCGTTAATGTACGTCAAGTATAGCGTCGGTGAGAGACAGGAGCCCTGAGGGACTCCTGCGAGTACGTGTCTGGTAGTAGAGAAGGAGTGTTCGATTTTAGTGGTAAAAGTACGGTCGGTGAGAAAGGATTGGATGATTTTTACGATTTCTAACGAGATGTTGAGTTTGGAGAGTTTGTAGAGTAGGCCTTCGTGCCAGACGCGGTCGAATGCTTTCTCCACGTCGAGGAAGACGGAAGCAGTGTTTAAGTCGTTGTTAAAGTTTTCGCTCAGTTGGTGGGTGAGTTTGGTCAGTTGTAGTGTGGTCGAGTGTTCGGGTCTGAAGGCGAACTGTTCGGGACGGATTTTGTTTTTGAGTTTGTCTTGTAGGTGGGTGAGGATGAGTCGTTCGTAAATTTTGGACAGGGAGGAGAGGAGGGCGATTGGTCTATAGTTTTCGGGTTGTTTATGGTCTTTGCCTGGTTTGGGAATGGAGATGATGACTGCTTTTTTCCAGGCAAGGGGAAAGTAGCAGATTCTGAAGGCGCTGTTGATGATCCGAGTAAGGGACAGTATAACGTTGTTCGGTAGGAATTTAAGAGCCGTGTTGGTGATGAGGTCGTCACCAGGGGCTTTCTTTTTGCGAAGGTTGCGAATTATGTCTTGTATCTGGCCGGGAGTGGTAAAGAGGTTAGATCGGGTGATGTCAAGGCCTTGTAGGTACTGGGAGTGAGCGGTTACGTCTGGTAAGTCGGGGCCGGGGTTTGTTTGAAATTGACGTTCGAGCGAGTCGGCTATCAGCTCTGCTCGTTCGTTGGCCGGAAAAACTAGGCCGTCGGGGCCGGTTAGTGGGTGAGATGCTGGACGTTTGTGTAAGAGACATTTGTTGAGTTTGTATATTGAACCGTCTTGGTGGTCTAGTGAGTTAAGAAAGATGTCCCATTGGTCAGTATTGTGCGTTGCGAGTAAGGTACGTATGAGAGATATTTTGGCGTTTAGTTGTCGTTTAATTGTCGGGTCGCGGTTTATTTGCCATTCGCGGCGTATACGGTTTTTGTCTTGTATTTCCAGTTTAATGTAGTCTGGTACTACAGTGGACGGGTGTTTGCGTGTCGGTACGTATACGCTGGATTCAACCGCTTGTTGGATATGTTTTGTGAGGTTTTCGATTGCCAGGTCGATAGACTCACGGTCGTTGGTCGGTTGAGTGGTTGAGTTCGGTAAGTTCGCGAGAGTTGTCGTGTATTTTTTCCAGTTAATAAACCGATTCGTAACCGGTGGAGAAGAAGAGATCGGAGTGCAGAGTGTATCTAGAAGAATGGGGTTGTGGTCGGAAGATAGTTCGTTGAGGTTAATGATTTGGGTTTGATAGGGTAGTCGTACGAGGGCGATGTCGAGTATGTCAGGTCTGTATCGTGTGCATGTCGGGAAATGTGTGGGAGAAGAGGGAGCAGTTACAGAGTAGTCCGATTGTTGTGCGTGGTCAAAGAGGACACGGCCGGCAGCGTTAGTCGTGTGGCTATACCACAGCGGATGTTTGGCGTTGAAGTCGCCTGCCGAAATTTGCCATTCGGCACTCTTTGTCAAAAGGTCGAGGTCGTTTGTCGT